GGAAGATCCTGTTTGAACCACTGGCAATCCTGCCGAACATGTTTTGACTTGTTCTGAAACAGATATGAACACACACCAAAATTGTCAAAACATTCGAGCTGGAGTATGAGACAACTGGACAGTTGGTCCATCTCCACTGCGAGAGATCAAAATGTCAAAAATGTTTTCAAATGATGCCATCTCATAATACCACTTCAGGCTAGCACTTATCTGAAGTGAGAACATCTGAAGAACACAGTTCCTGGAGCATGTACATCTTTCTAACTGAAATTAAACCCTTCTAACCCGTTGAAACATGGAAGGGTACGCCCTGACCTTTGACAACCCCTGAAGAGCAAACTTTTACCTTTTGACCCTTAAGTTCTCAACATTTACTTCCCCCAGGTCCTGTAGTCTTAAAGGGGTCATATGATGCGATTTCCAGTTTTCCTTTCTCTTTGGAGTGTTACAAGCTGTTCGTGAATAGATAAGATCCCTAAAGTTGCAAAGACTTAAGTCTCAAACCCAAAGAGATATTCTTTATTAAAGTTAAGAGTCGTCCATGCCCTCCTAAAACGCCTCATTTAAACACGCCCCCACATGTCTACATCATTGTGTGGGAAGATTTGCATAATGCTGCCCAAATGTTCACGCAACGAAAGAAGGTGTAACTTTGATTCTCGCTGTAGTATTGTTGCTGCCGCCGCCATGTTGTGGAGACGCTGTGTGTTTCGTTGTAAAAGCGAAACTACTTTGTTTGGTTTTCCAAAGGAGGACACAACTAGAAATCAGTGGTTAAGTTATTATTTACAACACTGTTCCAGAACAGTTCAAACCATATATTCAGATGTGTGCAACGCATTTTACAGAGGACTGTTTACTGATCCTGGGAGAGTAGACTACAATGCCGGCTGTTCTGACTCACAGCCTGTAAGTATGTTTTCATATGTAAAAAATTTGCCACTGACGATACAAACGGGAGTTTTGAGCAGTGTAGAGTAGCGCTTGTTGTTTGTCGTTTCTCCGATCACAACATGGTTTTATGTTTACGCGGCGCGATGCAACGCAACACGTAAAAAGTCAGTATAAGTCATTATAATCAGTAATTATGTCCCCACTGGATACAACAAATGCCTCGTTTAGAATGGGTTTTTATTGTTTTTGTCTCGTCGTGCCGGGACACGGCATCACAGTATGGTAAGGGGCGTAACATTTCAGTCACATGAAAGTAGGGGCGCAGGTGGCTTCCACAGGACACTGGAAGGGGCGGTAGCTGTGGCCTTTTGGTAGGATCCCAATTCGTCGGTCATTTGACGTGACGTCAAGAGTGACCGACTGAAAGGGAACGTCTCGGTTACGTATGGTAACCCTCGTTCCCTGAAGGAGGGAACGGAGACATCACGTCCCGTCGCCACAGCTCCTGTAACACCGCTGAGCGGCCGGGTCACCGGCTCGGCTCCTACGCGAAAACCTGAATATGCACTGCATCTGCTGCCTACTTATACTCACGCTGTGGTCAGCAGCAGCTGGATGCAATAATCGCATGCCAATGTGCTTTGGCTCGTTTAGTTTACACTCGAAGTAGATTGGTCTCTCTAAGCGAGATCCCAATTCGTCGGTCATCCGACGTGACGTCTCTGTTCCCTCCTTCATGGAACGAGGGTTACCATACGTAACCGAGATGTTCTCCATGATATCTCCTCAGAGGATCCATCACATCTGAGAAGCTTGTGCAACCGAGATTATGTCATGTGCCTTCTCCGAGATGGTCCTAATTCAAAACTTCAAGTGAAAACAGACAACCGTAACTATCAACAAGCTCAACAAATAGCTACTACTAACATAAAAGGCTGCGTAATGATGAACAGAGCCACAAATTAGCCTAATTCAGAAAAGACCTTGAGATCATTTGCTAAGCGTTAGCATTGATATATTATTTCTCAAACAGCTTTGACACACTAGCGATAAACTAAAACGATTGCAGGTTGAGACTTTAAACAAGAAACTTGGCAGGGTGTTACAGAGTATTTGTTAAATCTAGCTAACAAAATATATATTGTGTGTTTGAGTGGTCCAGACGCTACAATAGTTAAACCATGGTAACCATGGTTTTGCTACATTAACCATAGTTGAACCATGGTATTTGCAGTAAAACTGTGGTTATACAAATGGTAATCAATACGCCACAAATCCATGGTTTTTTTTCGTAAGGGGTAGACCTAAATAAATTGATCAAGAGGAAAAATTAGGCATGCAAATGCTTGAATCTGACAATTTACTCAGATTCAAAAATACCTTGCACACATATGCAGTGGCGTTAAGCATACATTGTACGCCTTAACATGAGTACGTTTATTCACGCCTCACGCCTTAAAGGGGTCCTATTATGCTCTTTTACAAAGTCTTGTTTTTGTTTTGGGGGTGTACTAGAACAGGTTCTCATACTAGGTTGTTCGAAAAACACATTATTTTTCACATATTTTACATTATTACAACACCTCTCTCCCCAGTCTGGCATGAACGGCTCGAATAGTTCCTGTATCAAATGAAGGCCCGCCTTCTGAAATACGAAATGTGCTGTGATCGGTTAGCTGGGCCAGTGTGTGTGCTGTGATTGGTTAGCTTGGCCAGTGTGTGTTGTGATTGGCAGCACTCGGCGCCTGGTCGGGAAATGACACTCCCCTTATCATAGCCGCCTGCGAGCTTCAGTGCAAATATTGTGTCAAAATCAAATCAATTTGAGCGCGATTTAAACCCGGATGATTGTAACCACTCTAAGTTTGTCTGCCTTGGGAAAGCTAGCGTGCCTCCGACATAGTGATAACACTCATTGCCTTCTCTAGTGCAGCTCAACCAGGTCTCGTCCCATTCGTCGATATTTGTGATATCCCAAATCCCGGAAAATATGCGTTGTAGTCCAAACGAGTCATTCGTTGTAGTTTTTGAAAAGTGATTTCTGTTAAATAAAATATCTCCTTTTGAATTGGACTTTGAGCTTTGAAACTTTGCAGATCTTTTTTATGCTCAAACAGCAACATTACAGACTAACTAAAGTTGAAAAAGTGAAAAAGCATAATTGGACCCAACTGTCCAGTAAAGGAGACTGTATATTCTCTGAATATTTGCTAAAAAACTCTTCTGACATATTTGTCAGCTTTCTTTTTAGATACATTATCAAGACAAACACAGCAATATGCACAGTAGCTTTCACGACATTATCGCAGTGGCTTTCTTTGTTTCTGAACTCGGAATGTAATGAGCATGTAAATGAATGACCAATCGGATTGCAATATTTAGGCCTCATATAAACAGAACTTTCAGAATTCCGAGTGATGAAAATTAGTACATGTAAACATACCAGGTGGGATTAGACTACAGGTTACCAGGTGAAATTGAATAGCATATTACGTCTTTCATCCTTGGGTTTAGACTTATTTTACTTAACAGTTTTTAGACATCTGGTGATGATTCCTCACTGCAACTTTACTCAAATGTATATAGCAAACTCTGAGAGAGCAAAAACAATCCAAAAAGTCACTAGGGCAGTTCTCTCCTGCTTGCATCAGATAGCCAGACTATTTTAGTGCTTTCTATAGTCAAAGTATACATTGTGGCTGATGAAATTGTGTGCACTGGGGTGGAGAAGAGAGAGAGAGGGGGCATATCAGGAGACTCTGTTCATTTTCGGAGATTGACATCAGGGTCCTGGCAGGAGTATCGTAACTGGTCCGGGATGGGGCTGTTTGTAAAGCGAGTGTAAGGGGATGATCTTTACAAGAGAGGGGTAAGCGGACACACATAGTCGACGGATCGCGCTACCACAAAAGGACAAAATGCCTGGCTGTTGAAACAAACCTTCTTCATCTGTTGCGAGGGGGAGTAGCCCGTGTGACAGACGTGGGTGGAGTATTACGGCGGAGGACAAGGCCACAGAGTTGTGGAATGTGTGTCCCCTTCAAGCCGAGGGGAAAAACAAAAGAATGTGAGCCAGTCTCCATAAGCCTTTTCTACAGAGAGGGTCAAATGTCAAACCACCTCAAAGCCAAATGAGCTAATTTGTGTGAGCAATCATATATTAAATCCTGAAGCGTACCAAAATCAGTTAACAAAAGGATTAGGGGTAGGTCATAAAGTCGAGTTTATCACTGTTACATAGTCTAATCCTAGCCCAGTCCTTACTAATTACTGGGTGTTCATGCTAATGATTTGTAACATCACAAAAGTGCCAAATAATTACCATAAAGTATGCTCACATTTATTGCTGTTTGACAAATTGTTGCGCCTGAAATCTAGAGGAATCCATTTGATTGGGAATTTCATGTAAGTGTGATTTCCCCACGGAGATTTTGCAACGGTTGGTCATGGGAATTTTCTGCATCGACCAACAGAAAGCTAAATGGTTTGAAAGTGATTTCTGTGTAAGCTGGGCTTTATGCATCGCTACACTATTGACAATGAAATTTTGCCAAAATTTTGTGAACGCAGCTCTAGAGTACCTGCTAGTATAGCAATAGCCAATAGTATCAAGTATTTTAATAACTAATGAGTCACATCTCAGATAAAATCAGATAAAAATGAGTCATGTCTCAATGATAAAGAGAAAAATGTCACACAGAATAAGGCAGGAGGCTGACTCATGCTTTATTGTGAATGGTGACTCAAATGGGAGACAGCATTCCTGTCAGTGGATCCCATGTGGGAACGGGAAAATCTGGAGGTGGGGAGTGTCATAAGTTCACCCTCTGATTCACTTCAACAAAACTCCCACAGCATGACTTGGTCCTGTTTGTCCTTACCTTGTTTCACTACATTTTTTTCCAATATCAGCACTGCAGCAATAAATAGCTGAGCCATGATTTTTTTATTTTTATAGGGATTTTTGAAAAACAACTTCACAAAATCTCTCTTATGACTTCTACTCTCTTAAGTTTCTATTGCTTTGCCAGCAAGGTCTGACCTAAGCACTAAGTAAATCCATCAAGGGACTCTTGACGGGCCTATTCAGCTTTTTTAAAACTCACCATACATCTTGCCTTCGTCTGAAAGGATGATCTTTCTGCGGCCACAGGGGGGATAAATGGCCAGAGCCTCCTGGAAACTCTGTTCAATGTCAGGGCTCCAGACGCCCTCCGCATCGCCGTCCATTCCGGCCTTGTCCATCTCATCCGCTCCATCCTCCTGCCCCTCCTCCGGGCTCCCGTTGGTGCTCCACTCGTTGGCTGCAATGGTGGCGGCTCCACCTGGGCCCCTACGTGAGCCCTCACACCCAGGACTAGGAGAGAGACAGAACGAATAACAACAGGAGGTCACAATTAAAGGAATCATTCATCCAAAATGTAACATTCTGTCATTTAAAAAAATCAATCCCTCACATTGTGTCAAACCAGTGTGGTGTTATTTCTCTGTGAAACACAAGATTTTTTTTGGAAGAATCTTCACACAGGTTTTTTCCATGTCTGTTGGCATAAAAAGGACATTCACAGTATCTGCTTTTCAGATGTGTTATTGATCTTTGAAAGACAGACCTGTTGTGAGCTTCAAGGTTGTTAATCGATGGTGTATGATTTCTTCTACTCATTTGTTCGTATTAATTCAACTTATTTTTAAAACAATCATGTTTAATAGTGGAATTTCTGGTGAAAAACTACATTACCCATGATTCTATGCAGAAAATTCTACCAGTCAGAAGCTGTATCTGAAACCGCTCCCTATCACCTATATAGTGCACTATATCAGCCATTTTGTTGTGCTGTCCGAATTCTGAGTGAACGAGTTCATACCCTATATTCATTCATTACTTTTTACCCACAATCCTCTCTGATTTTCAAGTGTACAACTGATGTGCACTCACTGAAGCACTATTTCCCATAATCCAATGCAGAGAGGACTGACGAGCAGCGGGAGCGAGCGAGTTTGAATGAGATGCTGTTTACATCTTTATTATTTCTGCTTTAACATTTATTTCATGCATTATTCAAATAAAAAACTACGTATGTAGCGTATTTATCTTAATAATAATACCATCTAATAATAATAACATCAATGAAACCACTGGCGTATTAAGTCATTTTGACTGTTATTGTTATTAATATTATTTTCTATAATATGTTATGAAGATTTTTCTGCGACAGTTCCAGCTCTCTGATGCGCAGTGTATACGCCAGCGTCTGAATTCGTTCACTTTATTTCGTTCATTTCTTTCTGATATAGTGCACTCAACTGCCATACACTAAGGATTAATGAATGAGTGAACGAGTGAGCGATTTCAGACACAGCTAGAGAGTCAGAGTGAACAAAGCGCACCAAACAAGATTCACTTAAACCCCGCCCCTTTCTTACAATTGGCTGCAAGCTTGCATTCAGATCTGCCTCCATCCAATCAAAAACTTACACATAGTACCAAGAGCTCACCCTTCATTTTTCTTTTTCGAAAATCCGTTTTACTCGAATATATGTCATAATATGGAAAAAAAAAGGTATTTTGCTACTTCCGTTTCATCATGACATACAATTCATTCACTATTTTCCAAGTCATATGAATAGACTGAAATTTATGTCTTTATTCACTCAGAACCTATTAGCTGTTTATCCCCGGATCACTGAGCCAGTAAACTAAACTCTAGAACCAAATCAGTAAATTAATCATTTTGTTGGATCGAGTTGGTTCTGTTCAATGAATCAGTTTGTCTGACAAATCTGACTGAACTGAACAAATCGTGCAAGTATTGAACTGATTCATTCATGAATGAGAGTTCAGCTCACTGACTCAGTTGTCCTCTCACAATATAGTCCTTTAATTAACAGGAGGGGGATATTTTCAGTGAATAAATACTTAATTTTCAGTCTGTTCTTTATAAAAAACTATTGTGTGGCGTCTGAAGATTTGAAAAAATACAGGACATGAATCATCGTTATCATGAACTGCTAAACAACTAAATGAAAATTCTTCCAAATATCTAACTTTGTGTTCTGTGGAAGAAGGAATACAGGTTTGGAAAGACACAACGTCTCAGCCCACTTTAGAGGAGCATCAGCTGCCCCTTCCAGGCTGTCTTACAATAATTGGTTAATTGAGATGGCTCAAGACCAATAGGAGGGTTGACAGTAACTATCATTCCAGATGGTGTGATCATGAATCTCCCTTTGGAGCTGGAGCTTTTCCCAACCCTACTTTAATTAAAGAATCTTGTGGGATCATGTAATAATTTGCATAAGTTCTGTCAATCAGTTTATCCCATTATGAGACGGAAGAAAGAATTGGAAAGGAAAATTGCTGTCGGAGCGGAGGACACACTGAGCTGCCGAGCAAGGCGCCAGATTTTTCAGACTCCTGAAGTCATGTGAAGTTCAGGTGACGAGATATCAGATTTTCAAGGCCGAGGGTATTAATAGCCATGGTATTGAAAATCAAGGTAGTGAGGGCACTGATAAATTTCCTTGGTGTCAACAAGGCAGGCTGAGCAATAGTGGCCAATGTCATGGCAAAAGCAGACAGTAGAAGTTGGCTGTTCACTAATCATTTCGATGCAAGCACTAATAAGGGTTTAATGACATAACAACATATTGTTTATACATTTTTTCAGCCTATTTTTCCAGAATAAAATACTAGATAATATGTCTGATTGAAAAGCAAAGTCTCCTAATTGCTCAAATAAAACATAGCACAACAATAGCAATAAGTAGCAATAATTACAACATATATTGGCTTACTAGAAAATGTGAAAAACATTTTAAAGCATGAAGAATACTGTGTGAAATCCCTGATTCAATTAATTGAAGTAGATTTGCAAAAATAAATCAAACTTGCACTGAGACGTTATTTAAACATATTTAGTCTTAGCAGTATCACAATCACGAGTCATCATGACACAATAAAAAGGGCAAAACTAACCAACTGACATGGTCTTCATGGTAAAATGGCCAAATTCAAGACAAAATAAAATCCTTGCAATATTCTTATATGTTTCTTAATTTTATACTTTTAACAAAATCATATTAAATAGCTTGTATTATTCAATTCATGGCTTGATCTGTCTTTCCAACCCTACAATTAATATTTCAATACACTATATAAACTTTCATGATCAACTCTAAAAGGTCTGGGGTTGGTAAGATTTTAAAACAGTTGTGCTGCTTAATATTTTTGTGGAAACCATGATGAATTTTATTTCAGGAATCTTTGATGAATAGAAAGTTAGGTAACACTTTACTCAAAGCCTTCATAATGCATTATAAAGGAATTGATATAATCAGTGTTGGGGAAAGTTACTTTTAAAAGTAATGCATTGCAATATTGCGCTACTCCTTCCTGCAAAAAAAAATATCTCTATGAAGAATTTCAGTCAGGTTTCAGGCCTCACCATAGCACAGAAACTGTACTTGTTAAAATTACAAATGACTTGCTTCTTGCATCAGACCAAGTCTGCATCTCATTGCTAGTTTTACTTGATCTTAGTGCTGCGTTCGACACCATAGATCACGACATACTCATAGATCGATTACAAAACTATACAGGTACTCAAGGGTAGGTTTTAAGATGGTTTAGATCCTACCTGTCCGATCGCTACCATGTTGTTCATTTAAATGGCGAGTCATCTCAATTATCACCAGTAAAATATGGAGTGCCACAAGGATCTGTCCTAGGTCCTCTGCTATTTTCAATATACATGTTGCCCCTTGGTAATATTATTAGAAAATACGGGATTAGTTTCCACTGTTATGCTGATGATACTCAACTATATATCTCAACAATACCAGATGAAACTTCTAAATTATCTAAGCTAACATAATGTGTTAAAAATGTAAAAGATTAGATGACCAATAATTTTATCTTATCAAATTCAGATAAGACAGAGATATGACTTATTTGACCAAAAAGCAGTACACTGAATCTCTTGGATTACAATTTGCAACTAGAAGGATGTACTGTTACTTCCTCTACAGTCAAAAATCTGGGTGTTATATTAGATAGCAACTTGTCTTGTTCAACTTGTCATATTTCCCATGTTACAAAAACAGCATTCTTCCATCTTAGAAACATTGCCAAGCTATGAAACACGTTACCTTTTTCTGATGCAGAAAAGCTAGTTCATGCATTCATGACCTCTAGACTGGACTATTGTAATGCACTGCTGGGTGGTTGTCCTGTATCCTCAATAAACAAGCTACAGGTAGTCCAAAATGCAGCGGCTAGAGTCCTTACCAGGTCAAGAAAATATGATCATATTACCCAAATTTTACAGTTTCTGCACTGGTTACCTATTAAGTTCTGTATCAGTTAAAAAATATTATTACTTGCCTATAAGGCCCTTAATGGGTTAGCTCTTGCGTACCTAACTCAGGGCTTGCAAAATCGCTAGCCCGACATCCCGGGGCTATTGTGTTTTCCAGTCGGGCTACCAAAATGTATCACCACTCTGCCTGACGGGCTACCTTAAATGCAGATCTCTCGCGGGTCCTTAACTCCTAAAGTGAGTTGTATCAAACTTAAGGCCATAACAAGTTTTAAATACGTTAAATGGTATAAGAAATGTCTTAATCATAATTTCAAGAGGTCTTACAGTTGGGGACGGAAAGACAAGCGTTGCGATACGGCTGGATTAAACTTCAAAAGGCAGTGATTTCAATGAATAAATATGAGCGCTGCACGTGTCAAGTCAAAATGCGGCGCGGATGTCTTTATTTAAATGGACCTGAAGGCAACCGACTGTCCTCAGAAATGTGCCGTTGGCATTTTAATGTCATTTGACCTATAATTCCTGATAAAGCAGCGTTTATGAGCGAGGAGCTTCTTTGTGTGCAGCCGTTACCGGGGAAATCGCAATATTTCAGCGCTCCTAATGATAAAGCAGTAAGAGAACATTAAATTGTTAGGTCAACTTTAAAACACATGTAATCACATTATTTGTTTTATACCAATGCTATCTGTAAGGTATAAATGTGTTTGGGTGAATAAATGTCTGTAAGAACATCGGATGGACTGTATTTGTGTCATTTTGTTAGGTTAATGCTTCAGCTACAGATGATGTGTTGCGCAATTGTTAATTGGGTTTCTTTCTTTAGTAATGGCATTCATTCTCGCTTCATAGGATACCTGTCTGTTATGTAGTGCCCTGTTATACTGCATTACTGTGTAATATGTATGGTTTCTATAGCTGTGGCATCATTATGATGGTATGAAGAGATGGATTAATTCATGTAGGATGCCACTGAAGGCCTAGGTGTAAAATGCACGGCCCGCCACTGCTAAAGCACCACCTCATGGCAGAGAAT